AAAAAAAATTGAGACACTGATACATAAATAGAAATACATACATACTCTATAGAAGGTGGATGTTTTTTCAATAACTTTTACCCATTTAAAAATACTTTTTTATTTCTTCTCGTTTTATTTTTGAATACTATACTTAAATATCTAACTTTGAACCTGTACAAATATTAAAATGTACCCCCCCCCCTCTTTTTTTTGTTTGCTAGAAAGGGTTCATTTTTGTTTTGTTGTGTTTTATGATTAAAACAATTTAGATTAGTGTCACTGATCGAGCTGCTCAAGCTGAAAATCTGCTGATTCTGGTCTGCAGAGCAATTGCTGCATCCTCATTATAATCTAACCTTGCTATTATTGTTGTTTGGCTTTCATGAAGTCTGCAGCTTTGTGGCTAATCTCAGCAAATGACAGCCAAGTGAACTGTGTTATGACTGTTGTCATCTGATAATAGCTTTTGTAACAAAAATGAAAACAGCTTACATTTTTATTAATATGACAATTATTGATTTGTTGTACTATCAGTATATAAGAACACTTTATTGTGTTTGTGTGTATGTGGGTTGACAGAGGCAAAGGTGTTCTTTGTTTACACGGAGATTGTTTCTCACAGTGTGAGCAGGTTTGGACTTGCTGCTTGAACTTGAAGTAAAGAAGCAAAACTCGACAGTCAGGAGTAAGTAGAGAAACATATGGGTTTGTGCTGAGTAAGACTGGGCTCAGATCAGCTGTCTGGAATCACTGCGCTGAACCGAACCACATTTGTTTCAGTTTTTCATGGAGTTTGGTTAGAAATAGATTAAAAGCTTGCATTTATAGTGGGGTTTTTTTTATTTAAATTTTTTGCTTTGACTCGAACCTCAAATGCCGTTACCTTCATAGTTTCAGAGAAGGGGAGAGCGGGTGTCAAAAGGAGAACTTCTACACAGAGGATGCATAGAATCAGCTTTCTCCGTGGATTTTTTACCAGATCTGATAGTACTATGGTGTCCGAGCAGTCATCTTGTCCTCTCCGCTCCTCTTTTGACATGTCCTATACATCTTCATCCTGCAGCTTACCCATAACCAAGACTGGAACAGATGAGCTCATGCCGACGGACCATATTCCACCCCACAACAGGGCATCTTCAATGCTAGAAAGCAGCCAGGAACCAACTCGTCTGGATGCACAGCCAGCGCTGCCTCCAGGGAGGTCCCCACAACTTCCAAGTGAGTATAAGTAATATCTTCAGGAACAATCTTTAAAATAACATTGTGGCTGTCTGGAGTCTCAAAGTGAAAGTGATTTCTGTTCATGTTTTGGATATTATAGAAGTCAAAGAAATGAAACGGACACAAATTAATTCTTTATTAGAAAACAAATATCAGAGTATACCTGATATGCTTTGTGTTTGACACCTCCAATCTGTGCTTTAAGCAAATGAATGTATTAAAAACCTAGGTTTTCTGGTTAGGTTCCCTGTTAGTATTGTGAAACAGGGGGTGGACTTTTTCGACTTAAGTCTTGCTTTTTGAAACTTCCCTACACGGAAATTTGTGCAACATTTGTCTGTGTCTTTTCTTCCCTCATTCCTGCCTCTTACTGAAAATGACAGTCCCTTCAGCATCTTCAGTAATACAAGCCTCTCAAATTGTCAGAAAGTGAATCCTCCCTGTTCATGAGCACTGTCATGTCCTTCCTGGTAGATCAATGCAAAGACTTGCATGTGAACGTGAAATTTACCACATTTATCATTGTTTTATATTGTTGAAGTAAACGGAGGGACACCGCTTCCTTCTCTGTTGTTTTAAAAACAACCTCAAGTTCAAGAATCTTTATTATCCCCAAGGGGCAATTTGTTTCTCAGTGACACACAACACATCCATACTAGTCAAGACATTAAGACGTTAAAATAACAGTACAGAAATCCTTGTTCATTGAGAAGCCTGATTGTTACAGAGATAAATGAGTTTTTCAGTCTGTTCGTCCTACATCTGGACAGCAGCGTCCAGATGGAAGCAACCTGAACTCACCATGGAGTAGATGATCAGGATCTGCCAGAACCAGCCTGGCCTTGCACTAAGATTTATGGTTAGATTATTTCAGCTGTTGTTTCCAAGGTGTCCTATTAAAGCACATTTTTAGCTTATAGACTGGAAAAAGCTGCTTGCTCCTGGAAAGTTGCTGGCTTGATTTACTGACAGAAAGAAAAATGTCCTTGAGCTAGGAAATTGCCTGCATATTTGCTTCTGGTGCATCCTGAGGAGGTGTTGCATCTTTTATTCCTACTGTGTTCATTACAATTGCTGAGATTTAGTTTTAAGAAGGCGAACAGGAGGAAAATAGATATTGTTTCCTGTTTAAAGCTGCCTACATTTTAAATATTATGTCATTTACAGATATAAAGCTTTGAAATTCAATTAAATTCAGTGCAGTTTATTTGTTTAGTGCCAAGTCACAACAGAAGTCATCGCAGGATACTGAACAGAAACATCTAGGAAAAACAAGTTAATAACTTTACCTGTCAGTCACAGTGATCACATATTATATAAAATAAAACGTTCTTGGCCTTCTATTCTAACATTGATATTAGTCATTGTGTCACGTGCCAAAATAAATGCTAAACTTGGACTTCATCCAAACCCAGTGGGGGAAAAAAAACACGCCAAGGCACAGTTTGACTGTCATTTCTGGTTCCACGGCTTTTGTCTCTTCGTCTTGTTTCTGTGTCAGGGTTTACATGTAGGTGGGACTAAAACAGCTTCTCAAAACAGTCTCATAATCTAATGTAGGCAGTGTGACCCAGTGAAGGGAAAGGTGTTGTTTTAGCCCTCGGTGTCAGCGTGGAGACATTTTGGAGAGGCACAAGACAATAAAAATGATGAATAAATAAAATGATCTAAAAGTGAGGAATATTTATATTAGTTCATTAGTACAGCTGTAGATAGTCACCAGCTGTCCTGCGAACCTGAATGGAAAAACGGTTAAAGAAAATGTATCATTGGCTGGATGGATATTAAAATATAAAATAATTTTAAGATGTTATAGGGTTATGATGTTATTACATTGAATCTGTTCTTATGACTACTGCTGTGGCAAAATACATTTTCTCAGGAATGAACAAATATTTTAATTTGTTCATTCATACATTGTATATAATATTTTTGGATAATATTTAATCCAAGCAAAAGTAAGTATTATGCAAATTCTTGTAAAGTTTTGGTTCAAGCAGATATATTTTTATTTCTGCTGCTCATCAACCTGTTGCACTTGTGACGTGCTTTTACTGATTTAAATGTTTGCTGTGATTGGATCATTCCCATGCCACAGTGACTGTAAAACTGATTAACATTTCACATTTGTTGTAAAAATCCAGCCTACAGGTTTTTTTTGTTGTTGTCGCTTTTTTTTTAGAAAACTGAAGACAGACACCATGAAAACAAACTTTTAAAATTATTTTTGAGTGGGTGGCACGGTGGCTCAGTTGGTAGAGTTGTTGCCTCTCAGCAAGAAGGTCGCCCCAGTTCATTTCCTGGCCCGGGATCTTTTTGGGTGGAGTTTGCATGTTCTCTTTGTGCATGTGTGTTTTTTCTCCAGGTCCTCCAGTTTCCTCCCACAGATCAAAAACATGCATGTTAGACTGATTGGTAACTCTAAATTGTCTCTAGGTGTGAGTGAGAGAGTGAATGGTTGTTTGTCTCATTTGTCTCTATGTGTCCAGGGTGTCCCCCGCCTCTTGCACAATGATAGCTGGACATGGGCACCAGTGACCCCCGTGACCCAAAAAGGAAGAAGCGGGCATGGATGGGTGGACGGACAAACAAAATAGACTTATCAAACCAAGATCTAGGTTCAGATAAGCCAAACGTATCTCTCATTTTAGTCTAGGTCTGCAGGTATTTCTGCATTTCCTGGAATGGAGCTCTCTATAACAAAAAAAAAAGAACGACTGCAAAAGCATATTATGTAAAAATAAATAAATTAATTAATGCCGCCACCAAATGTCTTCTTCTGAATTGCTTGTATAACTTTAGGTACAAAACAAGTCAGGACAATATTTCTGGTTTTCCAAACAGATGTCTTTTCTGCCTCATTTCTTACATTTATGAAATACTTCTGGTTCACTTCTTATATTTGTGTAAAAGTGACGTGCTTATACTTCTGTGCAACACACTGTTCAGCCTCTGCTTGCTCCGTCAGGCTCTGGTTCAGTCGATGAGAACTCGGATGATTACGAGGATCCGGACTTGTTTTACTCCAGTGTTCATCAGAACAACATGGCAGACGGGGTGAGGACAACTTTAGTGTATTGTTGTGTTTTTTTCCTTCTTCCTCTGTGTAGTGTGATTGACAGTTGTCTCTTCCAAATAGGAAATGTCCCTACAAGTACCTAAACAACAAGAAATGTGTTACAGTTTCCTGGACAGTGATGACGAGTGCTTGGACGGTGACGAGTGAGTCTTGAAGCTCAAGTATTGAGTTATTTTTTAATCATTCAGTCGTATGATAAAGAAATTAAAGTACGCCCTGATTTTTTTAAAAACAGAAATGTGAAATTATTGGTTCTAGTTATGTCTTACAAGCAGGTAAATACAACTCCAGATGAGCAACAATACATGCTATATTGTACTGTTTTAAATTAAGTGTATAAATCCTGATTTAACGCCCTGTTTAACAAAAATAGCTTGGATTATTTATTTATTATTTATTGCCTTTAACAGTTTCTCTCCTCAATACGCCACTCCTCTTTACAGCCTTGATTCTGTTCATTGAAGTTTGAGGGTATTAATTTAATCTGAGGCTATCTTATGGACACCATTCCTTCAGAATCTGTTCTGTTGCATGGCATGATTTTGAGATGACCACACATTTGACTCAAACATATTTTAATAAACCAGGAAGTTCTGATGGCGCTTAGTTTTGAATCAATTTCATGAGTAAACATCCCAAAGTGAATGAGAGCGTGAAGGTGGGGTGTCCAAATTAAATATGGAGAGAAACATGAGCCATAAAACTGACCAGTTGCTGTTACAGTCCAGCTCGTTCTGCACTTCCAGCTTGTTGTGTGTAAACACACTGAGCACACTTCTGTGGGCATTACCAAAGATGAACAACCTTTCCTGAGATGGGATAGAGGTAGGGCTTGGGACCAGAAAGTCGCAGTTCAATTCCCAACCATTCCCACATTTCGTGGTGTCTCTGAGCAAGACACCTACTGATAATCGCTCCCCAGGCGCTTACTGCTCCACCTGGGTGTATCTCACGTGTGATGGCTTAGATGCAAAGAACTACAGTAATTTTGCCATTGTGTGGGAACATACAATGATGACAATCTCAGACTACCCTTCCCGTCGTTAATGCCAAGGGACAATTTGCATATGGAAGGTTAATGATTAGAAACAGCCAGATAATCCCCAAACCACCAGGCGTCCAGTGCTTTGTGTAAGGACCATGTTGGTTGGTTTTCTCTAAACATTGAACATTGTGGCCAAACATTGCCACACTGTTCTCATTTCCCTAAAGATCGTGATCCCAGAAGTCTTGTGGTTTGTTCATAAGTTATTTTGCAATCCTAAGCTGTGACGTCTTTTCTTTTTCAAAAGATGAGGCATTTCTTCTGTACACATCACACTTGTTTAGGCTTTTTCTCTATGAAATAGAATTTAAATGCAACATTCCGACTAAGACCTGTGAAGTCTGAATTGTAGCTCGTGAGTCTTTTCTAGATTCTCTGAGCATTTTGTGGTCTAACGTTTGGTTTGATTTGGCTGTAAAGTTCTATTTTCTGCTTGTTCATGTTAAACTCACTATAGATAGAATGTCTCTCATTGTTCCTGAACTGTCTTGTAACTTTTCCAATATTGATGCAACATTTGCCTCTACATTGTCACTGAATATTTATTTCCAGGTTGTCAGTGTGTGGTGCTCACCTGAATGCTCCAGACCAAATAAATACTCTGGATATCTGCTTTTATTGTAGTGCTCACACTGACAGATGATTCTTTAATCCGTGTCTGGCTGTTTTTACCTTCTTACTTTCTATGGAGCAGTAAGATTGGTCATAGCTGCACCTAGCTTAGATTTTGACGTTAACAATGAAACAGTTCAATAGGACCAGTGGTGTCAAGTCAAGGTTCTTTATTGTCAGTTGCACCACATGTGGTACATGTGGTGTAACAAAATTGTGTACGCACAGTCCCAGTTACATCCAACAAAAGTATAAATTGTAAAGAAAAACAGTAATAAGATGTAAGATATGAACTAAGAAATATGCTAAACTAAGAATACACTAAACACTTAATAGTACAAAAACAATGCACCAAACAACAGCAGCACGAACATGAGTCTGTGTGAGCAGATGAGTACAAATGAACACAGCAGCATGAAATAAATCAGCAGCATGAAATAAATCAGCAGCGTGGATAGTCAGAAGCGCATATCAACAATAAAATGGTATCACAGTGATTTTTTTTCACAGTGATAATCATGATTAGGGAAATTAGAGATTCATGATTCTAACAGCCTCAGGGTAGAAGCTGTTCCTCAGTCTAATGGTTGTACACTTATGCTCCTCAACCTCCTTCCTGAGGGGAGCGGGGCAAAAAGTGTGTGTGCTGGATGAGTGGGGTCCTTCATGATGCAGGTGACCCTCTTCCTGCATCTGGAGGTGTAGATGTCTGTGATGGTGGGGAGACTGACTCCAATAGACTTCTGTGCAGCCTTCACCACTCTCTGCAAAGCTTTTCTTTCTGCAGCTGTGCAGCCTCCATGCCACACGTTGATGCTGGAGCACAGGATGCTCTCCACAGCACACCTGTAGAAGGAGGTGAGAACTGAGCTTCTCAGACCAGCTCGTCTCAGCCGTCTGAGGAAGTAGAGTCTCTGAGCTTTCTTGATCAGGCTGATGGTGTTGTTGCCCCAGCTGAGGTTGTCATTCAGGTGCACACCCAAATAGTTGTAGCTGGAGACCACTTCCACCGCAGATCCAGGTGTAGGTGTGTTTGTTCCGTCTGAAGTTCACAAAGTCCTTCATCTTCTTCACATTGATGTGAAGGTTGTTCTTCCTGCACCAGCTCTCCAGGTGTTCCACCTCCTGCCCGTAGCTGGACTCATCGTTGTTTGTGATGCATCCAACCACTGCTGTATCATCTGCAAACTTTACAATATGACAGCCTGGATGGGTAGCTGCACAATCATACATGAGGCGAGTGAACAGGAGGGGGCTCAACACACATCCCTGAGGGGAGCCAGTGTTGAGGGTTATGGTGGAGGAAGAAAAGTTGTGGATCCTTACAGACTGCGGTCTGTTTAAGTAGTCCAGGACCCAGTTGCAAATGGAGGGGCTTAGTCCTAGTGTGAGTTGTTTGACCACCAGGGTCTGAGGATCATGGTATTGAAGGCAGACGTGACGTCTACAAAGAGCATACGGACATAGGAGTCCTTCTGCTCCAGGTGGATGAGAGCAGTGTGGACCACATGGCGTCTTCAGGTGGTTGATGATGTGGGTCATGACCAGTTTTTCGAAGCGTTTAGCGACTATCGGGGTGAGGACTACTGACCAACAGGCATTCAAACCAGACACTGTAGAGCTCTTTCGGACTGGGATGATGGTTGCAGTCTTCAGGCAGGTGGGAGCATTTGCCAGGGTGAGGGAGGAGTTAAAGATGTCGGCCAGCACCTCACAGAGCTGATCGGTACAGTCTCTCAGCACCTTCCGTGGGATGTTGTCTGGGCCGGTTGCTTTGTGAGGATTAATCCTGAAAGTACTCCTTACTTTAGCTGAGGTCACACTGAGAAACTTCTCTTCCAGTAGTGAGATCAGTCTGGTGCTGGGTGGTCTGTTTGGGTCTTCAAAGCATTCGTAGAACTTGCTGAGGGCATTGGGCTGTGATGGGTCTCTAGGGCATTGTTTACTTCTGCTTTTATCATCTGTTATAATCTGTTTTATGTTGTACTTTGTTCATCTGAGGTTGTGACTGATTTATTTATTTTTATTTATATTTTATTATATATATATATATATATATATATATATATATTATTTTTTTATTTTTATTCAATTATAACCAAATGATTTATTGTTTAGAACTGATATGTAAAACATGAACTGTAAGAAAGGAGAGCTTAGATTTTATGATGCCTGTATGTAACTTTGCATAGCTATTAGATTTAAGAGGATTTTAAATGTGTTTTTATTATCGTTGAGCTCTGTTAGTGTCCATATGTGTTGAGACTTTTTTTATTGTTACATTATTTTGCTAGCTCCTTTTCAATGTCCATGTTTGAGTTCACCTTGAAAACAAGTTTTAAGTGCAAGATGTTGACATTTAATGACCTAAAAAGTGAGACCTTTTTATTAAGACTGTCCTAAAACTGATCCCCCCCCACCCGTTATTACTTTCCTATTTGTTGTTAATGTATTTCCAAAAGTATATGTGTGATTGCTTGTTTTTGTGCATCTAAAAAACTAGCCTTTGGCAGGACAAAAGCCCCAGGAGCCCATCTAGCAGTTTTCACCTGCCACACACCAGCAGACCCTCTCCACCCATTAAAGAAGACAACTCTCAACCCTCTGCTGTCATCAAGATGGGATGGCTGGACAAGAATCTACCTCAGGGGTATAAATGACACAAAAGCTGAATATTAGATATGCCCATTTATTGTCTAACAAAATGTTTGAAAATCTTTCATTAATAATGACAATAAAATGGTTGACAGTTGTATACAGTGTAGATTTACAATTCCACTCCTTTTGTGTATTTTTTGTTGTTTTTTTGACTTAATGCACAGGGTTCTTTACCAGAGACGATGGGCCAAGTTGGATCCTGACTATCTGAGATACTTTGACAATGAAAAGGTAACAAACTCTACAATAACGTCACATAACTTATAACTCATCAGTTTGTAAATCATTCAGCACAAACACATAGAGTTGTCTTTCATACCACCGTTACACAAGCTCCGCACACCTAATGTTAAACGTGTTTAATAAAACTTGTGTTGAAGGATGTGTACTCCAAGGGGATCATTTCAACAGCGTTCATCAGTTGTGTGAACAGCATAGGGGAGCTTAAGTTTGAGGTCGTCACAAGCAATCGGACTTTTACCTTCAAAGCTGAAAGTGAAGGTAGGCCTGTTTTTGTTTATTCGTCTGTATATAATTTGACAAAATAATTTTAAACCACTCTTAATTTTTTATTTGTTTTGAAGGAGCAGGAGTTGTGATCCTTTAAATTGGTCTTTATTTTTTCTAAGGTTTTTTAAGGTCTGTAAAAATGTGTTTGGGTAGTTTTTTTTTTCTTTTTCTTGCTCATTATGTGTTGGCAACATGATGGATCAGTGGTTAGCACTGTTGCCTCACAGCAAGAAGGTCCTGGGTTCAATCCCCAGTTGGACCTGGGGTCTTGCTGTGTAGAGTTTGCATGTTCTTCTCGTGCTTGTGTGGGTTTTCTTCGGGTACTCTGGTTTCCTCCCACAGACCAAAAACATGCATGTTGGGCTGCCTTCAGGCCCAGGTCTCTCTTGTAAAAGAGATCTGTGATCTCAGTGGGATTTGCCTGGTTAAATAAAGGGTAATAAAAATTTATTTTAAAACTACTTTTTTGTATTTGAAACTAGGAAAACTAGCAAATATTGCATAGTTTGACACATAAGTTAGTATTTTAGGGAATCACAAAGAACAGTGAGCTGAAAACTTGACATACTGTGATGTAGATAATCAATTAAAGGATGATGCATCTGGAACGAAAGAGTGAAGTCTTTGAAAGATCCACAGGAAATAAAACAAAACGATTGAACAAGACCAGTTTAAAAATTAAATATAAATCTAAGAAGTTTATCATTAAGTTTATAGAAAGCGCACATCTCGAGTATACATCCACATTTGTGCGTACGTGTTTTCCTAAAACATATTTTTCTCATCACCTGCAGCTGAAAGAAACAACTGGGTGAGCTCACTGCAGGGCTGCACCAGGGGGCGCCAGCGACAAAGCATCATTAATCTTGTTTCCACAATAAACCCCGATCATCAGGGATATTTGGAGCTCAGAGGGCTACGCTGCAAATATTATACTGTTGTCGCCTCAGATAAAGTCTTTCTCTACAAAAATCTAGAGGTAGGAGTACTCAAACATGTGAACAAACCTCACTTTGATTCATTTCATTTGCAAAACGCTTTAACAAAAAACTAAAATGATGTTAAATTTGTCAATTAAAAACAGTAGAAATTATTGATAATGTTTTTTTTT